TCATAACACTGTTGTAATAATAAAAAAAATTCATTATTTCAATAGCTACAGTTAATTTTAAAAACCCTGGCGAAGTGTGTGTATATCGCATGTAGCCTACTTTGTATCCTCTATTCCTCACTGAGCATATGTCATTGTTACGCGGATGTCGTATAGATATAATTATATATAGTATTAATCCGATTTCGTGCAAATCCATTTGCATGTTTACAGATTACACAATTCTCATCAAGTGTTCCTATTTATTTGTTCGTTTGTGGTTTATTTAACGATGTAGCCAATACCTCAGACCATACACAGTCAACTAATAGGATTATTAGTACATTCATTAATTGTAAAGCATATTGAGAAAATTGGTCATTGCTCAATAAGAGTGAGATATTATCCGGCACTTCCCACGATGAATTGAGAGAAATTACGAAAACAGTCAGCATATCCTGTTTACGAGCTGAGAATTGTGGTCATCAGTCTGCACGTTCAACCAACCCATGAATTCTGATTAAATTTAGCGCAGGAGATCTACAAAAACTACGGAGGAAATAAGAAATAAATCCTGAATTCCGGTTTACAAATTCCAGACAATTGCTGCTGAACGTGAACTACACTATGAGAAAGACCGCCTTCTGAGCGCTCAGAAACGTCGGTTAACTTCTACGAGACTACAAGGAGCAAAATCCCACAAGGCTGTCATCCTCATACTCGTCGCCGTGAGAGTATGAAATCCCACACAAACTACATTAACCCTGTCCAAACAGTTAAACATTATCTGGCATACTTAATATTGCTTGTTGGAAGACTCACTTTAATTGGGCGTGTAAATGCATTTCATATCGCTCTGTCCAGACCCGAGGTTAATAATGCACGCAAAATTTACCTCCGCATTTCCTATATGCACTAATAGTTTTAACATTTACCTCGATACATACAGAGTCTAATAGAATTGAGTAGAAGAGTGGTAAGGTCTACTACAATTAAAAGGAGACATAGCCTATCTTCACAAATACAAATGACTCAAGATACGCTATAACGGAGCGTTTATTTTTAAACGGTGATCTTCTGCGTTCCATTATACCTGGAACATTCCTGACAATAAACAATTAGTAGACAGGCGTTACGGCGACGAAGACTGCAAATTCAGTTCCCTGTATGTGCTGGAGTGTCTTTTGATGCCGACGTGAAAAAGAAAGAAGTTTAAGAAATAATGTTCAGAAATGGTGATGATGAATACTGGAACTAGCAATGTGAAGAACTGCCAATTAATTGTGAATGTGGGTTCGCCCTGTGATGTGCAACACGTGACTAGACCTGAGGCTGTCCGAATGCCAGGTAGTCAGCTAACGATGCGACCATCGCACGACCAAATCTTTCAGA